CGAAATGGTTTCAAGCTAAAAGAGGGAGACTGAGACTGCATACAAGGAGGAAGCATTTTTACAATAAAGGTGGCTGCCCAGAGAGGTGGTGGATGTCCTGTCTCTGGAGAAAGTCGAGGTCAGGCTGAATGGGCTGTGAGCTCCGCATTGAGCTGTAGGTGTCCCTGCTCCTTGTAGGGGAGCTGAACCAGATGACCTTTAATGGTCCCTTCCAACTCAAACAATTCTATGATTCTATAATTTGGTGATGATTTAATGAATATCTAAAACGGTGTAATGTACTTGTCAACATAATTGCATGATTGTATGATGATCCTGTTAAGCATTACAATTTACTTTTCCACTTTTTTCTTGTTGTTGTTTTGGGTAATGTTGGATTGTATTTTTAAGCAGCTATATGTGAATTACAAAGGAAAGAAACAGGTAAGAAAACTTAGAACTCAAATACTGTCATGAACTGACTTTTTAGACGTAAGCAGCTATGATAACTTTACTCCTTCCTTATATCTCTTTATAAACAAGACTTCCTAATGGTAATGACAAAAGGAAGAGAAGCAAAATAGTCTCAAGAGAATTATGTGCATTTCTCAGTAAATTATGCAATGCAGATGGTTGAACGCAGCACCATAGCTGTTGGACTTTAAAAAAAAGTGGGACCTCTTGGTCTTCCTGTAGTGAAAGATCAGCTAAACAAGGAAAGAGGAGCAATGAAAAGTCATAGAGAAGTGTGGTAGCTTGCTAAGACTGTTCAGTATAAGTCAGTAACAGAGCTGAAAAGAGAACCAAATAATTTTGACATTACAACTTAACGTGGCAGGCTGTTCCTGCTTGCTGGCAGTGGCACACTACTTCCTGGTGTGCTTCCTCATCAACACATTTACAGCATGCTTACAAACCTTTTGTCCAGGAGGTACCCTATTCTCCAGCATCTTGTGATACAGCTGCTGCTGCTGAAGGTAACCATTGTTTCTTTTCTGTAGAAGGCTCTGACTTTCCTTTTTCAGTCATTTCTTAAGAGTCATATGCCACATGGGAGGACCATTCCCCAAAAAGGGACAGCTTAGTTTCATCACGCTCTTCCCACATGTTTCTTCCCACAGAGGCCAATGCAGATTCTCTGTGTGCCCCTGCCATGAGCTCCTGCATCCCTGGGGACAGCAGCAGTCTTGCAGGGAGTGGGTGGCAGTCCCAGGGCCCTGCCCTGTTCCCAGTCTGAAGGACACCTGGAAATGCAAAGTAGCCCTACTGAGGACCTGCAGGGCAACATCCCTGAGAGTGGAGCCTCCATCCACTGTGGTGATATTACAAAACATTTCAGGCCTCACCGCGCTGCATGCTTATGAGGATACAAACTTAACACCATCAAGCAGCAAGTCACTGGGAGGGCTGCACGTTGGTGTGATTGCTTCTGTGGTGTATTGCAAATACACAAAATATGACATATTACCAGCAAAAATGAGTCAACTTGGAAATCCCACCTAGGCTGGGCTTTTCTCAGTTCTATTAAAACATTTACATATTATTAAATACAATCACAAAATAACACACTAGTAGTTTTACTGTCAAATAAATACCTTATAAATACAAGGATTTCTTACCACCATCACCATTACATTTATCTTTTGCTTAAATCCTTTCTCTCTGGAAATAATACAAATCAAGCCTCTGGGGCCTGTTTATGTAATGGGGATTTATGTCATTTCAAGACAAATGGCATTTGCTAAGTTTCAGGGAAACACCTGTATTAATTGTATTTCCTGCTCATGTGTTGCTTTTGTTTGCAAAAAAAGAATTCATCTCAGGTGAGTTAACCTTGCTTTTAGAAAGGGCACCTGCAGTTATCTTAGTGCTTATTGTAAATCAAAACATGTTGAGCCTTTAAAGCAGTGAAATAAAGAGGTGCTGACAAGAGGGTATGCCAATAGGATTAGGAGCTTTTCTCACTGCTTGTATTATCAGGATGGAGAATTGAGTCATGTTAAATTACAGGGGGAAGAGATATTCCCAGAAATTCCACAGATCAGAGATTGACTCTCTCCTTCAGTAAGCCCATGGATAGGAGGGGCATTCTGTGCTTGGCGAGATTAAGAAGGAGGAAAAAAAAAAAGAAGAGGAGAAAAAGACACCTCCCTTTTAGCCTTAGGCGTCTATAATTGACCAAGATTTTTCTGCTTGCGATTTGATCCATCCAAACCCTGTTAGAGGCACTTGCCCCCAACTGAGACCAAGGCTGAGGTGAATGAGAATTAGGTGACTCACTCATATGTACTATACGTGCATTCACATCTATTAGGATAAATGACATGTCATTCAATTTAAGCACAGGCAACTGGAGATTGTCATATTTTGAAAATGACAACTGTTATTTATTTATTGAGAATATTTATACAGGTTTTTCCTAGGTACGGAGAATGCATTTTTCAGCAGCGCAGAGACATGGGTGAATCAGGCAATTACACAAAAACCAGAGAGGAAGAGAAACAAAGCTGACAGTACCAGCCACAGGGGCTGGGTCAGCAGAGATGAATGGTGCTAAGCCACCAGAGTCATTAAGCTGACACTGCTCTGTGGTCATTTTAAAAGGACTGATCATGATGCTCTGGCCCCTGCTATATTAATACAGTATTGCAGCAAGCAGTATGTTAGATGGAAACAGGCAACCATGATCTAGCTCAGTTTTCGAGAATGGAAAAACTGGGACTAGTCTGATGCTGATTTCCAGGATTTGGGGCTAGGAGGAGATGGGAAGGTGAGGCTCACCTTCCCCTGCCCTCACCCCAATGCATCCTCCACCCTGCAGCAAAGCTATAGGCTAGGGCTTCCTCCTCACCGTTCCTGTTTAGATTAGGGTCATCTCTGCCTACCTCCATTGCTGGTCTGAGAGCTACTGCTTTAGAAAAACCATCATTGTTAGTGCCTTTGAAAAACACTACCAACAATGTTCTATCTCATTCTTAAATGCAGATAGCTCATCAAATAGAAAGATAAGTAGATAGATGGATAGATGTACAGACGAACAGATGAAAAAGAAACATCTATGTGATTATAAAGAGACGACATTAACAAGGTGGATATGAGTTTCCCACTTTTATATGGGTACAGAACTGTTACATTTATGTCCAGTCTTTGGGACGCCAAATTATCACTGCAGCTCAATGGGATGCTCTCTAGAGTGGACACAAGGGACTGAGTTTAGTATTGATTTTTTTTCTCCTAGATGTGTTGGAAAACAAATATAATAATGACATTATGACATAATACTTCTATCTTTTGGAATTGTTTTCTTTTTTTTTTTTTTTCCTTTATTGATTGGAAATCTTTTGGGGTTTATTCCTCCGTAATTCTGACCTCCACACATTACTCAGGAAGCTGGAGCACCCTGTATCTTCTATAAGTTCTGCTAATACTTAACTTTGTGTCTGATGGTTCCATTATGCAATGAAATTATTTACTGTGCATCAAAAGATCGCAGTTGCCATAATCATCATCTTGTTTGGTGTTCTGAGTTAGCTCTATGTATTTTCAGAAGACTTGAGAGAAAGGTATGACAGCAGTGAGAACTGCTGAGTGCCCTCAAATAGGAGCCAAGGCTGATCAGCTGTTTGGAGGAGGGAATCAAGCATTTACCTTGCAGCGTTAAACATGCTCTCCCTACTGAGAAGGCTGCCATCAAAGCACTGAGGCCGAAATTTTGTGCTGTGTGTTGACTGAAGTTAACTATCCAAACAAATAACCTATGCTTCTGCAACTCTTGCTAAGTCAAAGATGTGGACCCTCTGAAAATGAGTCAGGAGTTAGATGACCAAAGGTACCTCTGGAACGGCTGCCTGGCTCTTAAACATTGCCCCATCTGTTTTCATGCTTTACATAACTAATTTTCCTGAGGATGTACTTTGCCGGGTTTGGCACCAAAACAGATAAGAAAAAACAAACCCAAGACAAGGGGCTGATTGAACTCCAGCAAACCCGTTTTGTTTTCTCATATATTTTTCCAACCAAATACTTCAGAGAATGATTGAAGAGAGGATGAAAAAACAAGAAGCTGGATGATCAACTTTTAGTTCTAAACAGGAGCAAGCCACAGGTAGCAGAGAAGGCAGCTCTGCTCCAGCTCACCAGGCAAAGAAGGAGCTGTGAAGGGGTCAGTATGGCAAGGACAGGGCTGCTGGCCAGCATAACCTCTTCCACATCAAGTCCCTCAGCACATGGCATGGTACAAAATCAGGGGAATACACAGCTACTCTCATCTGAATAACCTGCTTTTCTGGCTGGAGGCAGGATTTTTAATATTTTTCCAATTCAACTAGAACAATTTTTTTTTCTTCAGTGGCAAAGATGTAGCTGAGATCCAGGTAGCTTCATTCCATCTAAAGTGAGGTATTTCTCAATGTGTGGGAAGGTGGTTTTTAGCCAAATTAGGAGAATTAATGACTTTAATTGATTAAATCCTTCAAGGGGTGTTTCATTTGAGAAGGTAAGAGCATTTCCTAGAGGGAAAGCCCCATTAGGTTTGGCTTTTCTAAATGGTTCTCTCTAGAGTTACAACAGGGAGGGAGGCTAGAATTAATCTGAAACTACAAAGATTTTCCTTCCCCTGACACTGCATTTTCCAGGGAATACACATACAGAGCAAGACCTGTTGGCTGCCTCCCTTTGGCCTGACAAAGAAATCCATGGAGGCTGTGTGCATGCACACTTTGGGAAAACAGCACCAGAGTGGAGCTTCTCATGCTGTTTCCAAAGGTTTCAGTAAGGATACTGCAATTAATGGAGTTAATATAAAAACAGTAGAAGTAGGCTGATGTTTGTCAATTGTGGAGCTAGCAGAAGTTATGTAAACTGTTGAAAAATCCGTTAAGTTCAATTGCTTGCAGTATTTACTGAAGATCAGCATCCTACAATTATAAATTATCAGCACACTCAGAAATACCAATTGCAACAGCAAAAGTGTTTCTGTTGAAGCAGGAGCCTCATTCACCAAGCGTAAAGGGGGCACTTACTTATGTGAACTCCAATTCCTTGTCCCATTCCTTGTGTTTTTCTTCTTCATTAAATCCAATCATTGTCTTTTTTCAAGGGATGCTGGCCAAGGAACGGATGCCATTTCACCAGCTCATTGAAAATTGTGTATTTCTTCTCTGATGTCCAAAAATCACACATAGTCTAGTTTGTCTCAGAAGCTGTGATCAAAAGAAAAGTGAAACCTGTGGAAATTCTTTCAAGACCGACTGTTTGAATCTTTTATATAGTCTTCAAGCAATAATTGATCAAGTTACTTTTAACGAATCATAGAATCACCAGGCTGGAAAAGACCTCTAAGATCACCCAGTCCAACTATTCAGCTATGACCTATTGGCCATAGCTCCACTAAACCATGGCCCTCAATAAAACACTGAGCATTTCTTGAACACCACCAGGGATGTGACTCCACCACCTCCCTGGGCAGCCTGTTCCAGTGCCATCCATTCCATGAATGTTTCAGGAAGCCATTCAAATTTAGTATCATTTCAGGAAATTTTTTTGCCTTACCAGGAGGCTGAGGAATACCTATTCAATAGAATCCTGGAAAATCTATCATTATTTTATTCTATTATGAACAATGTTTGAACACATACATATATACTTCTAGAAGTCATTAATTTCTCAGTAATTCACATTTGTTGCTCAGGCCATAAACTATACTCCATCCCCAAATAAACTCAAAAAATTCTTAAAAATTGAACTTCTGCTTATCCTTAACTGAGTTGCTTAGGCATTAAATTCCTCCCATCCTAACTGTGTCTTTGTGAAGTGATTACCTTAGCACCACCCAACTGTAATAATATCACACATCAATAATATTTAATCATCAGAGAAGTTAGACAAAGTTTGCATTCATGAAGCTCTATCTAAAAAAGAACAAAATCCTGTGTATTAAAGGATACATAAAACTCCATTAAAAAAATTACATGTATGACATACGCAGCTTCTTCTAGAAAAACCTGCTCTGATTTCTCTGTAGATCTTTTAGTAAAATCTATACCTTGGCTAATTAAAGACAGCAGCATCCTAGGTGGAGTCCAACAGGAGCGCAGCTGATCTTAAAACCTGATGCTCGGCACAAAGCAACCACCTGTCAATATTTCAGTTACTGCCCTCCCCACCTGATCACACTTCAATTGTTTTCCAATAATTATTATAATCATCCACCACAAGGACAACTGGTTGTTTCAGGGTTATAGGTGAGAGGCAAAGAAGAAAAAAGCACCCACCCTGCCGTTTGTATACCTATTTCCTCAGGGCAGCTCCTTATTTCAGCAGCTGCTGGTGAGGCACAAATCAGCCTTAGAGCCAAGCCTGGATGGCATGCATCCTGATTTCTGTTTTGTTGTTGGTATTGCTGTTGGTCTTAATTTGAGTCCTGCACATGACCAGCCGCTTTCTCTACTGGAAATAATTTCTCTAAATTAAAGGTTGCTGCAGTGTTTCAAGCCTGTCAAAGATCTCTTGTTGGACAGGCTCTTTTTTTTAAAAAAAAAAAAAAAAAAAGTAGGCAGAGTCTCAAATCTTAGCCCTGAGAGCCAGATTTCACCTGATGAAAGGATTGGAAAATCCTTTTCCGATCAGGATAATTTTCTGTTAGATTTCACAGGAAGAAAAGATTTCAGTTTAGTTTTCATTTGAGGGGAATGAATGGCTTGGATCTATTGTTGTTTTTGTGACATTATTTTTAGGAGAGGGGAAAAAAAAAAAGCATTGAAAATCCTGACCCACCCTACCACGAACACAAAACCTCTGTCAGTGCTCTTGCTGGGATGGAAGCTAGCACACAGGAAGCAGGAAACACGGAATATTTTTTACTTCATCTCCAACATTTGCACTGACTTCATGCCTGTGTGAATGTACCTAAACAGAGCTTCACCAAACCCATCTCTCTGAGCTGCTGTAAGTTTTGAAGCAATGTTACCAGGAACAAAATCCTGACAATTTGGATGAAGCCTGCTTGGTTTTCAGTGGAGTCAGGAGTTCACATTTAAGATAAAGATACTGTGGTGCTACATGTTGGATACTGCTAGTCAGCCCCAGTCATAACACTAATTGCTCTGCCTGGGGAAGGCAGTGAGATCATTATTCCATTATAAAATGCTATCATTTATAACTGAGTAGCAAAATAACACATGCTGGGATGGAAGGAAAGCAGAAAAAGTCTCTTCCACTTTGTAGCACTTGCCCTGAATCTAGGGACCACAGAAAGGGAGAAAGGCACCACTTCTGTCACCTCAGGAAAGGCTTCAGTTTCAGGTGTAGCTGCAACCTGGAAGCAAATAAATGCTTTGCTGTAAAGGGAACATGCGCTCAGTTGTATGGAGGATGCTGCAGAAAAAGCAGTTACAACCAGCCCAGCATGGGTGGGTGGGTGAATCCCTGCATCCTCAGCCTTGGGGGAGGGGACCAGCCAAGGCAGGTGGTGAGCCAACACAGAAGAAAAAACCATCCAGAATAAGCAGATAAGATGATGATAAAATCAAAGCAATAATATAACTCTTGGAGGAGAATCCAGGCAGCAGTTAATTAGCAGAGAAGAGAATGCAGCTCTTAAAAGGCTGTGGAAGGAAATCCTCCTGGGACCGAAGGTGCCAGAGCCATCATCTCTTCTTCCCTTCATTTCTTCCTGAAAGAGCTCTTTCCCTTCTGGTGAGGTTTAGGATAACCTTGTTGTTTTGGTTGAAGGGTTGAGGTTTTCTCATATGACAGCCTGTCCTCTCTGCCATGTATACTTTGCTCTCAGAGGCAGTAGTAAAATTCTTCAACCTGTCTTTCTCACCCTTACCTGGAGCTCAGCCTGTTTCTCTAGCTTGAACTTTGACAACATAGATTTCTCTCCACTTTTCTCTCCCGTTATTTGTATCGTACCTTTCCATTACACAGGACCATAATCCAAACATGGTTTGTTGTTTGACTCCAATCCTTTGTGTGTTACAGATGTTTAAAATCTGATGCCCCTTATTTTGGGGAGTTCAGTGCTTAGACCTAACAGCTGATGTCAGGGTCAAAGGAGAAACGGTTATCCCAGATTGATGAGAAATCTGAGCCATTGATAATCTAAAGTCAGGCAACCTAAAATTACAGTGCCTGAACCTAAAGGAATTTTCTACGAATGTGTAAGTTGTTGTTGTTTTTTTTCCTGAGAGGTGAGTGAGATCCCTCTTTAGACTCACTTTTCAGTAAGAATAAGGTGCTGGGATGCTTTGGAAAACTGAACTTAATCTCCCACCCTTCTGCAGTGTATGCCCAAAGTGATCAACTCACTGAGCACAAGCAGTACTTTTTGGTAACATGTTGTCCATATAGATGAGTGGGAGCAGACCACCACTACAGTACTTTTAACACACACCATCACTTAAAGTAGTCCTCCGTGTGTCAGCTGATAGCCTAAGACTGGCTCCTGGCTTTTACCAAGTGTTCTGCTTTATTTCTTTTGTAGGATTAGTCAACAAACACTGGCAAGTAGCAACATAATATTTTTAAATGAAACTATGTACAAATTCCTGTCCAGAAACATGTATAATTGATTGCTGAGGTCAGGACCTGCACGGATGGTGGCAGGCCACTGCAGAGCTGACTATAGGAAAAACAATTCCAAAGTTCTCTTGGCAGCACACAAACAGCATGTGTGCCTATCCACTTTTCTCTTGCTCAGTTTACATTGTTCCTATTTTTAATGCATATCTCTGAAAAATACAATTATATCAATATTGTATTTATATCAGTTGACATGTGAAATCTGGGTTTCCTTACATAAATTGTGTAATTTTGTGAAGTGGTGCATTTATCAGAAGTTGTTTAAGGTAATACCATTAATTTGTGAAGTTAACGCACGTCGCATGGTAAACACATTCCAGCCCTTGTTGATTCGCAGTGTGCAAATAGACCATCAGGAAGATTTACCATAATCCATTTGTCATTTACCATAATGGATGATAATTCTCTCCCATTGCCGCCCCTTTCCTGCTCTGCCGCCCTACACTTCTCACCTGACCTCTGTTCGCCCACTGTTGTCTACTCTGAACCATTTTTAAGTTTTTCTCTACTTTTCTTCCGCTCATCTGAACTCCTGCTAAGTGACACTGTTCAACTGAGCCATCCTCGGAATTGTTCTCTCTTTGATCACTTCAAATTGGCCCACACTTTGCACCAGTTCTGGTTTAAAATTAGGCAGCAACTTAAGTGCTTTGCTGAACTTACCTGTCCTGTATGTAATTCTGTTTAATCTTCTCCCTGCCTTACGATCTCCTCTCACTGCTGTGCAGTGATTAGTGCTGTTATCTTCTCATACAGGCTCCTTCAGCAGTACCAGTTTTGAAGTTACTGTTCTTGAGCTGGTGGGAAGAAGTCATTAGCTTGTTGTCTACCATTTACTCCTGGTTGCCAATAAGCTGTTCCTACAAACCAAGGGTCAAAAGCTGGTCTAAAGTGCAGCTGCTAAACCCCAGCTCTGGCAACAGCAATCTGCACTTCCACCACACCACTGTGCCCAAATGCACACCCAGCCATGGGGTAATGGCACAGAGACACAGCTTCCAGTGAGATGAAGCTCCAAGGACTGAAACTAATAGCTATCATGAAAGCTAACAAAATTGTATCAAAGCCCAAAGCATTGCTCTTGCTGCTTAGGCCTTTCATCCCACACTCCCAGAACACATTAGAAACATCAAGCAAGACACTTTCCACAAATGTTGCTTCGCACTCCAAGATTTCCACCTCTTATGCTACCCACCACTCCTACAGCTTTGACTTTGTCCCCTCGCTTTTTCCAGAACTCCATTTGTTCCAGAGCTTACACACACTCTCTCTATCCCTTTCCCTTTGCGTTACAAGTCCTGATTCCTGTCACTATCTCTTGGCTTCTTCTCACCCCCACAGGTTCCCCACCATTGGCCATTTCCTTCAGCTGCCTTCTGGCCACTACTGCGCAGCTTGCACCACTGTTTGCATTACTCTTCCCACGTCCTCACTCTCCCCACAGGGCCAGGGCCTCACCCCGATGCTTCTCAACACTCACCCAGGGGGCTCCCATCCCATGGGGATGAGCAGGGGCTGAACATTTCCATTGCGGGCAACCCACTTAACTTCGCTCGCTATTAGGGCAAGCAAATTTCCCTGAATAGCGAAGGCGCTGAGATGCTGGTTCCTATAGCAACTGTATCCAGGTGAAAACTCCTGCAGCAGCTCCCCTTCCCCCTTCCTGCTCCCCATGTCTCCTTTCTTTTCAGTGGCTTTTCATGGCAGGGGGTGAGCGAGAAGGGATGCTAACCAGGCAATTTAACCGTCTCGGGTTACCCACACGTTAAGTGCTCGCGCTGGGGAGCACACCGTGTGCCCACGCATCCCTCATTGGTGAGCCAGGTGTCAGTGACCGTGAATGATCAATAAATACGGACTGGGGGACACCTTCATTTTGTGAAAGGAGCATATCAATTGATTTTTAAAGCTTTGCGAAGATGTTCATCTGCCACCTTCCTTCGGTTGTACTCATCTTCCAGGTCTTGCTATGCATCCAATGGCCTTGTTGCAGAAATTGCCACCTCCTTCCACAGCAAAATTATAATGGACTGCAAAGCGAGAGAGTTAAAAAGCTCTCCTGAGTGCTAGAAGAATATTCTCCAGAATAAGTTACTACAGCATCCAAGAGGGAAAAATGTAGGCATCACCTCCCTGCTGTGAAGAGACTGTGCGTAGATCTTCACCTGGAAACCCAAAACAGCTCAAATGATGGACATGTGGCCATGCACCGGGTTCCCCCTTCAGGTGTGCCCATCCTACAGCATGTGGGTGGACTGTGGGTTAGCCTAAGCTCAACCTGCAAAGTTGATAAGGTAAGCTTAGAGCAGCATCTTTAGCTAAGCGAGAGAACTTTGCTGGGGAGGCACTCTGAGAGTGCCCACTTTGGCACCGGAGCTAGGGTAGAGCATTCAGCCATGCAGCATGGCAACAGGCAGCTCTCAGGGTGGATCACAGAAAAATGACTTCACAGTAAAGTATCTATCTATAGCCAGCTGCACTCAACGTGATAGCATAACTCAGAAAGCACTGAGTAAAAAACAAAATCAAAGTAAGAAGGAGATAACTCATTGTTTATAACAAATCTCCTTTGCCAGGCTTTCCACATCAGTCATTGGAACTCAGGGTTTCCTCTGCATGAAGTTTATCTCTGCAGCGTAAGGGCTAAAAGTGTTCTTCATTCAGACAAAAAGCTGAAGTTATGAAATAGTAAAAGCATTAGAAGCTGGAAGTAGAGTGAAATTTTCCATAGCCTCAAAAATATATAGATTGACAACACCACATTTATTAACCCATCTAACTTGCCTTCTGATGGAATAAGTGAGAATCAACCTGTTGGTATCAAAACGTATCCTCTAAGTCCAGAAATTGCTGTTTCTTCCAGCAACAGCTGGTAACAGCTATGTGGTAATCTCAATTAGGGTGAGAGAAACCATAAGATGTTTGAGGTTACACAGTCCATAGTGGAGTATGTCTTCAAGGAAAGTGCCCAGTGGGATCCAGTGGCCTTAGCTTGGCATCAGAACTATAGCAGGAAGACGTCAATGAGGAAAGCTGGGACTGCACGCCAGCATGCACCTTCAGCACTGCATTGTGTTGCACACAGCAGGCTAAGTATTAAGACTACAATTTTATGCATGTTCCTGATTGCCTTCAGTGTCTCTGTGAGCTCACAGTTTTGATAGTAGGTTATAGCTCTTCTTGTGTGCATTACCCAGAGAGCATTTTCAGCTTGCAACATTACTGGCTTGAACAAAACTTTACTCCAGACCTTGACATCCTTATAACATTAATTGGCTTTCAAAGATTTCCTCAGGTCCCTCCTCCATCTGCCCCTGGCTTTTCTATAACCTTTCTATAATTTTCTGTAATGCAACATTTTGCAGGTTCAATATTTTTCTGGATCTTCCATTTAAGCATTTTTAAAATCTGAGAGTGGAAAAGTGGAAAATTAGCTCAAAAGCATTGGAAGTGGCTTTAATCTCTTTGACTCTAAGTGTCCAGACACCTTTCCTTTGGAGTCCTACATCTAAAGTCCCATGCTCTAAGTCCACAGCTGGCCATTGCACATGGAAGTGCAGAGTCCTCTTTTCCTGCTTGTAAGAAAAAATGGAGTTTTCTGCTCTTGGTTTAGACAACTAAAAGAGGAAAAATCTTGATCAGAGTCAGTAAAATACATAAGGGAGCTGCTGAAGGATCTTTAAAACTACCTGAAGATAACTCAAAGCCTCTGCTGATCTGAACTGTGCTGTCAGCTCTCCCTGGGGACTGCCACCCTTGGGGTAATTACAATACATCATACCACTCATGACATGCCTTGGAACATGAGCAGAACAGCAGACGAAGGCTGAGAGCAGAAACTCCAGGCACGAAGAAAAGAGGGTCCTATGGCTTTTCTCAGGATCCCAAAAATAACAGACAGAAAAATGATTCTGAAAACACCTGAAGAGCCGTGAAGAACCATAGCCTAGCAAGTCAGTACTTCTCCTGCCAATCTGCTCTGCTTCATTGCAGCCCACTGACAGCATGACTGCTACTGGCCTCATTGCTTCAGATGTGTTATTTTCAATGCAAAAGATGCTGGCAGCAATGGAGGCACTGCGACAGAGCTGTGGCTGTCACACAGTGAGGGACAGCTTCCCGAATAAGCATGGTTTTACAAGCCAGTACATTCTGTAGACTCTTGACACTAGCTATGATCTGAGTGAAAACAAGAAGCAATCTCCAGGTGCAGCAGGAAAAATGACAGAGCAATAAGTGGATGGTGTGGGAATCTCAGTTTGTTATAACCATCGATATCTCAGACACGTGCCACCATCCACATGTGGCCTTCCACGTGAGCCAGACTCCCTGCCACGGCCAAAATCAGCGCCTCAAAAAGGCAGACCTAAGAGAAGTGCCCTTTTCTCTGTAGGTTTATGACTAAAACAGAAATGAGAGACAGTGAATGTGTGTGTTTGGGAAGAAACGCAGTTCTGCTAGTGACAGAGCTGTGCAGTCCCCATCACCCTGGTTGGGGTAGGACTGAACATGCTGATCGATAGAGGGAAAAGTTGTAAGATCTATGCCCTGTTCTCGTGGCCATTCCCTATCTTGTCCAATGTTCATTATTCTTAGAGGCTTTAGGAGAAAGCTTTAAATAGATTACATCTTTTTTTTTTTTTTTTTTTTTTTTTTTCTGCCTAGAAAAGTATGCCAGCACCGTTTTCTATTTATGAGGAACCAACATAGGGAGGGTTGCTGTGAGGGAAGAAGGGAGCTCTTGTGAAATGGAAAACAGCAGGAGAGCTGGATTTTCTTCGCTACGCTGTGATGCTATGCTAATAAAGTAACTGAACATGACTTTGAAACTGAGATGATAAATCCGATTCCTATTTCTTGGGAAGGCTCCTCTCTACCAACCTGACAATACAGGCATGCATTACAGTGAAAACAAATTACTTGCTGCAAATGAGAATCTTGCTAATTCATTTTTATAACCTGCCTGCCTCCTTACCACCGACACGAAACTGTTTGACAATTGAATAATGCTCAGGGATTTGCAAATAAACTCAAATAGAAAAGGCCAAAACTCTCAAAATCGAGGCATTATTTCCATCTATTTATAAACCCCTACCCAAGCTGATGCCACAAGGTTCATCCCACACCATATCTCAGTGGTGGCCAGCAAATTTACATAGCAAGAAGAAATTATCAGAGCCTGGATTGAACTGTGCCATGTACATTTGCTATGTGAACTCAGTGTGTGCCTGTGAGAGGAACAATGTATGGATTCAAGCTGGAAACCTGCCGCAGCTTAGAGAAAGTGTGTGCAAAATGTCTAGAACCAAAAAAGAGCCTTTAATGTTCCTCAGTTTATCAGCATGTGTTTTTGGCTTCAGAGTCATGTAACTTTACCAGCTCTAAAGAATATGCATAATCATTTTGATGCAGAGGGAGAGATTATCATAAGTAAAGCCAAACACTTGCTTTTTCTGAGCACTTGGTCATGAACTCTCCCTAAACTACTGGGAACTGAACAGGGAGAAATTTTCCATAGTCCCCGTGGTGCAGATCCTGCCTAGGTGCTTTATGTTGGGAGCAAAAGTCCCACGGATTTTCAAGCCACAATGTATTTTATGTAGCATACATACAGGAGTAACAGAGATACCTACACTTCCAGAAGAAAGCCTCAGGTTCGTGGAGGACACATCTCTCTGTAGTCCCACTGTGCTTTTGTATTTGCTGGCCCTCATTCAGTACTGGTAGATCAGTAGTGTTTTTTAAACTTCCAGGTGTCTTTCAACAGCGCCATAATCTTTCTCATTCAATTCTCCTCCGTCAAATCTACCTCCTCTGGATCAGAGATTTCC